TCCCACTTGAGGGGTGTTTGGAGACCTACATGGAAAGAGCTGGGGAGGAGGAGCTGGTGTCTGTCTAGTTCCTAGTGGGCAGATTCCTTCAGCCCTTCCCCTGGGAACCTCCTGTCCCTCAGAGCCTGGAGGCCAAGGAGTGAGTTGGCCATCGAGACTCAGTTCTCCTTTAGTCCCCCAGCTGATTTCCCCAGGCCAGAGCTGACTTGAGGGGTGTTTGGAGACCTACATGGAAAGAGCTGGGGAGGAGGAGCTGGTGTCTGTCTAGTTCCTAGTGGGCAGATTCCTTCAGCCCTTCCCCTGGGAACCTCCTGTCCCTCAGAGCCTGGAGGCCAAGGAGTGAGTTGGCCATCGAGACTCAGTTCTCCTTTAGTCCCCCAGCTGATTTCCCCAGGCCAGAGCTGCAGACTGTTCATGTGACCTTTGAGGGGGACGTTGCAGGGCCAAGGGCTGTGCTGCCCCTGCTCTCGGGCTGGGAGAACTGAAGGATTTGAACTCCAGGCCCAGCAGAGCAGCGACTCACTGGCCAGAGCTGGAGAACTGAGTCACTCGGTGCAGTGTCCCCATGTGACATTGTCTCTCCCCAGGTGTGAGACGGGGCCGTTCCAGCTGCCAGAGGAGATTTCTCCTGAACTGGACGAGCGAGTCAGGGGTTTCTCCCAGAAAACGACTGCTCTGTCGGAGACTCTGAGGCAGTTCACAGGTACGGAGAAGGGACGGGGGAGGGGAGAGTGAGTGAAACGTCTGAGGCTATGGAAAGAGACCGATGCTGGTCATTTGGTTCCTCATTAGATTAAGTTTCTGTTTAATTGTGAGGTGAGAATGGCACCCACTTGCCATCCCACAGATGTTGGTTCTATTGTAGGGAGAGGCCCACTTGCCGTCCCAGACACTCAGGTGGATTCATTGAACCTTATTTGTTCCAAAAGCCGCTTTGTAATTACAGTGACTTTAGAGCACAAAATGGCCGACACACAGACAGAAACACCCAGCTCCGTGCTGCTCTCTGTGGAGACTCTGAGTACACAGACCCCCCAGCTCACAGGTAGAGCAAGGAGTTGGCAAACTCTGAACCTCCTGCTGGTGTCCAAGAGATCCAAGTGGGTGAAGTTACTTTAAGCCAAAGTCTTTGCGGCATCTGGGCCTAGGCAAATTTCAAGTGAATGAGCCAAACCCAGTGGAGTCTGCAGGGTGGGAGGGGACATTGATTAGAAAGCGAATCTCTGCACAGATTGTCCTGGGCTGGCTGTGAGGCTGCCGGGATGTTGGTTCCTTTGTTGGGAGATGCCTGAGTGAGAGAAAGTAGGAGGCTTCAGACCTTTTTATATTAAATACCTGAGGGTACGTCTACCCTGCGGGACAAAGTTGAATTAAGCTACACAACTTCCACTGCATTAATTGCCTAGCTGCTCTCAAAGTAACATAACGGGCAGTGGAGAGAAGAGCACTCGCCTTCCGACTTCCCTTACTCCTCATGAAATGAGGGCTACCGGCAGCAATAGAAGTGCCCCTTATTCTATTAGCTGTCTTAACTCGACCTCTAATGCGAACCCTGGGAGATCGACAGCACCAGCCTCGATCTCCGCAGTGTAGACGAACCCCAGATGTGTCTGTTATAACGAAAACCCAGGACTGCGTGTTGGGATTGGGGATTTCACGGGCTAGGTGGACTCCTGAAGTCTCACCTCTCTTATCCCTTCCCCCAACTAGACACGCTGCCCTCTGCACTGGAGAGAGCCAGAGGACAGTTCCTGGGAGCTTTTAGACAAGGTGAGGATTCAAGTGGAGACTGAAAAATCTTCCTGTGGTTGTAGCTCAAGTCGCCGACAAAACCCCCAGTGACCATGACAGGCAGAGCCCCAAACCTGCCCACTGCGTGGTGAGGAGCCCCAGGGGCACTGGATCAGAAGACAAGGGGCCATGTCCTGCCCCCCTTTAGAAATGGGATGGCCAGACCCCTCACTTCTTACTGTGAGCACAGATTGTGGACAGCTGATCAGCCCCTCCTTGGGCACCTGCCTCTTCCCTGTGCTGTCCCGTCCCAGTGACCCCACCTTAGCTCCCCTTCCTCAGAGACCCTGCCCTCAGCCAGGCCAGAAGCCAGAGCTGTGCTGCTTCCCATTGAACCCAGGTGCCCTGAAGAGCCATGGGCTCTCCACCTGCCCTGGGGGCGACTAATGCCCAGGCCCTGCTCTCTGGGGTGAGGCGGCTCTTCCCCAGCGCTGCACCCTCCTCTCTATGCCCTGGGCTGGGAGTGGAGGCTGCAGCAGGGGAGAACATAAGAATATAAAAACAGCCATACTGGGTCAGAGTAGGGGATCTATCTGAGGGGACTGACTGGCAGTTAGGGACATGGGGGATGGGCTGCAGAGGGGGCCTCTGTATGGACAAACTGGCAGTTAGCAGTGTGGGGGGAGAGGCTGGTAGGGGGGGGGCTTGTCTGTGGGGACATACTAGCAGTCATGACACGGGAACAGGCAAAGGGCTCTGGAACTCGCATAAGAACAGCAAGACTGGGTCAGGATACTGGGCTAGATGGACCTTTGGTTTGTCTGCTGACTGTGGCCAATGTCAGATGCCAAGAGGGAGGGAACAGAGTAGGTAATCTTCACATGATCCCTCCCATCATCCACCTCCAGGGAAACCATTCCTACCCATCCTGGCTAATAGCCATTGAGGGACCTAATCTCTATGAATCTATCTAGCTCTTTTTTGAACCCTGTTAATTTTCTAGCTTTCACCGCATCCTCTGGCAAGGAGTTCCCCAGGCTGACTGTGTGATGAGTGAAGAAAAGCTTCCTTTTGTTTGTTTTAAAACTGCCTATTAATTTCATTTCGTGACTCCTACTTCTTTTATTGTGGGAATAAGTAAATACCTTTTCCCTATTCACTTTTTCTATGCCAGTCGTGATTTTATAGATCTCTATCATATCCCCTCTTAGTCTCCTCGTTTTTAAGATGAGAAGTCCAAGTCTTTTTAATCTCTCTTCATATGGGACCCATTCCAAACCCCTAATCATTTTTGTTGGCCTTTTAAAGGGAGGGAGTTTCCCTCTGGAGTTTAAAGCTGGTACCTACCTACCTCTGCTCCTGCCTCACTGAATCCTTCTGCTTTGGGCCTGACAGATGAGAAACTAATGAAGCGGGCCCCATTGCCCAGGCTGAGGTGCTGCAGTGACAGCTCGGCTCAGTCTCAGGGCCCAGGACAGAGGCAGCTCCTTGGTGCCCAGGCCTGTCCTAGCCAGAACAGGGCTGCTGGGGAGGGTGAGAAATGGCCCCAGCCGCCCCCAAGGCTGAGCTCTGCCCCATACGCTCTCATTCTCTCTCCTCAGCGATTGTGACTCTGGATCCAGACACGGCTCATCCTGACCTCGTCCTGTCTGGGGATCAGAAATGTGTGAGATGGGAACGTGCACGGCAGCGACTGCCCAGCACCCCGGAGAGATTTGACTCTGTGTCCTGTGTGCTGGGTCGTGAGGGATTCACCTCGGGGAGACATTGTTGGGAGGTGGAGGTGGGGCATGGGGAATGCTGGGCCTTGGGGGTGGCTAGTGAGTCTGTGAGCAGGAAGGGAGGAATCAGCCGTAGCCCTGAGGGGGGTATCTGGGCTGTGCAGCAGTGGGGTGGTCAGTTCTGGGCTCTCACCTCCCCTGTGACCCGCCTGTATCTGAGCCTCCCACACAGGATCCGGGTTTGTCTGGACTGTGACCAGCGGCAGGTGACATTTATCGATCCTGGTACTGAAGCCCTGATCTTCTCTTTCCCACCTGGCTCCCTTCCTCGGGAGAGAATCCGACCCTGGCTCCGGGTGTGGCCAGAATCCCAGCTCAGCCTGCGCCCCTGAAATCAGTCTCTCTGGTCTCACACACCTCAGACTCTGTGACCTCATAGGAGTCCTCTGTACCCAGCTCCTGGCTTTTCATCTCTATGGCTCTCTCTACCTGTAGCCTTTTTCTGCAAAAACATGCAAATGAGGCTAAGTGTGGAATATTGCTGAGCCTCATTTGCATAAGTAATGAGCGCCCGTTTTTGCACAAGAGGCTTTTACGCAAAAACGAGCAGTGTAGACGGGCTCCATTTTTCAGGAAGAATGGCTCTTGCACAAGAAGGGGGTTTGCGCAACAAGGAGCCGTCTGCACTGCTCGTTCTTGCGCAAAAGCCTTTTGTGCAAAAACTGCTGCTTGTTACTTTTTCCATCCCTGAAGGGAGTGAGTTTGGTCTTGTGCTCAATACTGAGGTCAGGAGTGCTTGTTCAGACGAGTGCCATGGAGATTCATATTTAAACATGAGTCTTGTTACTTCTGTACAAATAACTTTTGAATAAATGTTCTTTGTTTCTATTGCATATGAAACACACCTTTCAGCCCGTCTCCTAAGTCTAGCAATTGATACCAGCAATATGAGTGTCATTTCTATGGAGACGTGCTCTGACAATACTGTCTGGCTGCATTGCATCAATTGGACAGACTCTAACACCTGCCCCAGGTGGCTGTCGCGTGGTCAGGCCCTTTTACTCTCTGCAGCTCACTTATTTCTCTGCAGGTGGTTTTTTCCAGTTGGTGCTCACATCTTTTTAGACATAGGAGAATCCACATGAAAGAAATCCTTCAGCTGCCCTGACTGTGGGAAAAGCTTCATTTAGATTGGGGTTCCCAACCTTTTTCAGTCCCCGTGCCCCCTTGGCTTTTAGTAAACCTTCCCATGCCCCTTACTCAATATGAAAGGAAATAAATTCTAGAGTTTACCATGCATATGCACATAAATTAGATAAAACAAAATACAGGACTATGTAGTGCTACATAGTCCTGTATTTTGTTTCAGCTACACCAGACTAACACGGCTACATTTCTATCATAAATTAGATAAACAGCCCTGGCTGCTGCCGGCAGAAGGGTTACAAGTCTAACGCTCGCCCCACCGAGCTACTGTGGCACCAGCACCCCTTGTTCTGAGGCTGCCACTTCTCTCTCAGGGCATTTTCTCAGCAGCACCACCAGAGAGAAGCTGCTGCCAGTGGCTCTGCAGGACGAGATGAGCTTTGCCTTCCCCCCTCAACCCAACTCCCTACATGGCCCCATTTCCTGCCTCCCTTCCCGGGCTGACCCAGTGGCTGAAAGGGGCTGCAGTGTTGATGGCAGGAAGAAGATGGGTGGTGAGACCCTGGCAGCAAGAGAGTCCAACCGTCTCTTTGCTGCTTGGGCCTGGCTCTCAGCATGGGACAGGCATGGTTATCCTGAGAGGTGAAGCAGCAGAAGGAAAGCAAGGAGCAGAGTGTTAGCTTCCAATTTGCATATCTTCTGATCCCTTTTGTAGAGCTGTTTTTGTGGGGAGAATAAGCAGTGTAGATGGGGGCTTTCAAGCCAAAAAAACTTTTTCAAAAGAACCCTGTACACCTCATTTTTTTAGGAAGAAGGGTTCTTTCAAAACAGGGGTTTTCCCCCGCAAAAGAACCATGTTTAGACTGTGGTGTTTGTTTGTTTGTTTAAAAAAACAAAACAAAAACAAAAAACTCTTAGGAAAATGGCATTGAAAGAATTTGCCATATTGTGCCAAATTTGCATATCTTCTTTCAAAGGCCAAGGATGATCTAGACGTGCCCTGAGAATAACAGATGTCCCTCTGCCTCCTGGGTCCACCTGTTTTTGAGGCTATGTCTAGACTGCAGGCTTCTTTCGGAAGAAAGCTCTTCCAGAAAAGCTCATTTTGAAAGAGAGCGTTCACACAGTGAAAGTGTATCCAGAAAGCCATATGCTTTTTTGAAAGATAGAATGCATCAATGTGGATGCTATCTCACATTTCAGTTATGATTACTATGCACAGAGTGGCAGAAGCCTCTTCTTTTGAAAAAACTTCCTCTTCTGAGTCCACACGTGCCTTTTCCCAAAAACGCTGTTTTGGAAAAAGGCTTCCTCATAGAAGAGGTTTACCGCCATCAGATGACCCTTCTGGTCTTTTGACTTTCAGTGGCCCCTCTGCCAGAGATCTAGCATGGACGTGCTCTGTGACTTTGGAACCCCAGGAAGCATGGGGGAGTAGTGACCTTCAGTGGCCCTAGGGAGGAGAGATTTTGAAATAGCAGCAGTGGGGCGTCCACACTACGGCTATTTAGCATCACTTATGGCTCGGGTTTGTCTCTTCAGCATGCTGCAGAGAAAGCCCTTGTGTGTTAAAGGGCCTCAGGAATCCCAGAGCAGAGGGAGCTGGGATTCTAGTCCTATTGACCCCCTCAACACACACACACGGTCCCACCCCCAAGCCTTCCCTCACATCCTTAATCCTGTGCCCTGACTTCTCTACCCTCCCACATCCTTACGCCTGCCCTGATCCCCCCACCACACTCACATGCTCCCCAGATCCCTGAGCCTCTAACACTCCAGTCCACATTTTCTTACAGGTACTGTCCTATTACAACCCCTCCCCCAACTTCTTGCCTTGAGCCTTCCCCCACCTGAAGGGTGGTGCTCAATAGAACAGTCCCTGTAAGAAATGTGTCACTTTCACCCCTGGGAGCAGCTCAGCGATGCAAAGGGGCTGCCTGGGGCAGGACATTAGCCCTGGAGGGCAGGGGTGGGTGTGGCAGTGACATCACAAGGGCCTTTTGCATCCCCTCAGCTTATTGGCTAAAGGAGGTTGGGAGGTGATGACATAACAGAGAGTCCATGACAATGGCCAGGGCAGCTGTGTAGCACCTTGACATTATTTTGTGGATTTAAGATGAGTCTCAGCAAGGGTATGCAACTGCTATTAAAAATGGTAAAGTACCTCTTGTGGATGGTTGATATACAGCCTGTCTCCGACTTACGAACCAGTTATGGACCAAGCAATTGGTCGTAACTCAGTGTGTTCGTAAGTCGGACCCCATTGAGTTACATGCGACCGCGCTGTTCGTAAGCGCAGATCGCGTTCTTAACTCGCAGTCTGCCATTTACAACATTTTTGGTCGTAACTGTGAACGCTCGTAAGTTGACCATTCATAACTCAGCGTCCGGCTGTACTTGTATTCCTACATCACTGTTTGTAGATGCCAAGCATAGGATATACGAAAGAAATCGCCATTTTAAGGTTACTCGGCAGAATTAGCTGCCTTTGCAAGTGAGAGGTAGCAGTATTCACTCCCATCTTCTCCCACTGACTTGCTGGTGCTGAGGGGTTGGCTCTTTTCCTGCTGCCCCAACTCTTATTCCCACAATGCGCTTTGTGCAGGGGCCATTGGTCTTTGTGCCAAGACGCGTGGCTGGGAGCCAGGACTCAGGATCCTTCCCCAAATATACAACCCCCCTTCCAGCCCAAACCCTCTGTTCAACTCACACTGTCTGGCTGTCGCCCACATGGGCTGAGCTCAGGGGCCAGGTGGGTGACCTGCCTTGCAGCTGTGACGGCATCAGACCCCTCCCACCCACCTGCTCAGTCTGGAGACCAAGCTCCAGTGGCCTCAGACACCCAGCAGGAGGAACAAAATTGTCTCCATTGTCCCTAAGGATAAGGAAGCCAAAGCACCTGAAGCACGAGGACCTTGCAGTAACCAGCCCAGCCAGTCCCACTGAGATTTACATTCATCTTGGAGGATTCAGAGTCCCGAGTGCTGCCCCTTACACCATGGCACCTACAGCTGACAGCCCACAGGGGCACCTGGGCCTCTCTGCTCTCAGGCTGGCCTCTGTTCTCCTGGCTTCCCTCTAGCCCCTTCATCGCTCAGAAGTCTGTCCTGCCCCAGCTCTGCTACTTTCAGGGCAAATCCCTTGTTAGCACCAGTCACAATCTGGGGTCAGTGAGGGTCCCTCCCACCTGTGATGTGTGTTACACAAAAGTCTCTTGTTCCCTGCCCAGTTCCCAACACTGGCTGCAGCTGTCTACTTTTGCAAGGGTGTAGCTCAGTGGTAGAGCATTTGATGGCAGATCAAGTGGTCCTTGGTTCAACTCTAAGTGCCTCCTTGGAAAAAGTTCCTTCTACTAGCGATATTTTCCTTTCCAGTTCCATCACACTCTGGCTTCACATTGCTTGAGGTTCTTGATATTAGTAAGAACCCTGAATGCAGAGCTGCTCTACTTTGGAAGCCCCCGGGGTGATGCCACAAGAAACACTTCCTGTTGGCCTGGCTGGAACGTGGCACCACATGAGCATGTTGTTAACACCCATGTGCCCCTGTGGAGCACTAGAGATGTCAGGCAGCTCTGTCCTCCCAGCCTGGCGCTGGCTGTCTGGGCCATGCACTTACACATACTGGCCCCTCCCTTTCTAGGGCAGGGCTCCTGCTGTTCCTTGGTTTACTCAGCCTGGGAGTTGGGCTTGGGTCAGTCAGTGAGGGTCCCTTCCACCTGAGAGGTATGTTACAAAAAAGTCTCTTGTTCCCTGCCCAGTTCCCAACACTGGATGCAGCTGTCTACTTTCACAAGGGTGTAGCTCAGTGGTAAAGCATTTGATGGCAGATCAAGTCGTCCTTGGTTCAACTCCAAGTGCACCCTTGGAAAAAGTTCCTTCTAGTGGCAATATTTTCGTTTCCAGTTCCATCACACTCTGGCTTTACATTGCTTGAGGTTCTTGACATTAATAAGAACCCTTAATGCAGAGCTACTCAACTCTGGAAGCCTTGGGGTGATGCCACAAGAAACACTTCTTGTTGGCTTGGATGGAACATGGCACCACATGAGCATGTTGTTAACACCCATGTGCCCCTGTGGTCCTGAGGAGCACTAGAGATGTCAGGCAGCTCTGTCCTCCCAGCCTGGGGCTGTCTGTCTGGGCCATGCACTTAAACACACTGGCCTCTTTCTAGGGCAGGGCTCCTGCTGTTCCTTGGTTTACTCAGCCTGGGAGTTGGGCTTTTCCCAAGCAGCAGGAGCTGTGTTTACCTGGGGAGCCACAATAAGAGCAGAACCCCCTCACCTCTGTTTCTGCTTGGCTTTGAACCTGGAGGCTTTTGCATATTAAACAAACATGATAACCACCACCGGACAGAAACATGGGACAGAAACATGCTTGTCAGTTTTTTCTGTACATAAAGTTGGACAAATATTCTGTTACTAATTCTGTGCCCAAGGCAGAGCAAGAGCAGGGAACAAGACCCCCCCTTTCTCCCCCAATACTTCTCTAGACCCTTT